TGGAGCCCTGGGCTTCGCAGTGTGCGGAGATGAGTTGGGCTGCGATCTTTTCGACCACCTTTCCAAGGCAATTGAGGAGTGAAATCACTCTGTATGATTTCACAGCCGTGTAGTCTGCTTTACCTGGCTTGCGTAAGACGATTCCTCGTGCCCTTTTCCAGGCGGCTGGGTGGTAGCCCACCTCGAAGCACGCTCGAATGAGCGCCGTAATTCTTTTCGGATCCCATTCCCAGACTAGCCTCAGTGTAGCGAATGTGATGTGGTCGGGTCCGGGTGCTTTCCCTGTATTCTGGGCAAATAAGGCTTCCCGTACCATAGCTTCGTTGATGGATAGATAGGCTGCACCGCCGCTTCCTGCTCACGAAAGTGGCGTTCCGTAATTTGATTGCATGCCTGATTTAGCACCTTTTATCACGAATCTCAACAATTGTCAGGATGGCCGAGTGGTTAAGGCGTTGGACTTGAATTCCTCCGGGAGTCATGTTATCCAATGGGTTCGCCCGCGCAGGTTCGAACCCTGTTCCTGACGATACATTTCGTTTTTCTTCTATTCCTTACCTTTTTTGTCTTCGCCGCAGACCAACTGGTACCACATCATGCTGCTTAACACGAAATGAGGGGTTCAACACGGATCTCGGTAAGCGCTTCGTCAACATTCTCAAGAAGCATAGTTTCATGAATCATTCATTACAAGCTCCGTTATGTGCGTGCGTGACGCCAGCGTAATTATAGCAACCGTAGGAAATATTTACAATCCGCCATCGTTGCTCCTCACTTATTCTTCATCGATCATCTTAATCAAGGTCAGCTCCATCTTTGCTCGCTCCTGAACCGACGCTACGCTCCTACCAGCTGGTGTCCACACCACCTTCCTCACCTCCGCCCCCTCTGGAAACCCATCTTCATCACCCATCTTCATCACCCATCTTCATCACCTCCCATCCCGTTCCCTCCTCTCGTTCGATTCCATCCCCTCCTCGGTTCTCCCTTCCCTCGCCTCCGCTGCCGTCACCTCCTCCGCCGGGCAACTCCCCTCCAACTCAAACCTCTCCTTCGCCTCCAATTCCCCCACGACCTCCCTCCCCGACTCCACCGACATCTCCACCACGTCGCTCTGCGGCGTAAAATACTCCTCCTGTTTCTCCGTGCCCCTCCTCGAAAACCTCTTCAAAAACGACAACGGCGATTTCGGCTCTGCTGAAAATGGTGGCATCGGGGTATTCGGCGTGTTGGGAGTAAGCAGATGGTGATGCTGGTGATGATTCATCCGTCGACGGCGGCGGCGGCGGCGGCGGAAGAGGAAGAACGTGCCTAGGAGCAGGAGAACGAGCGCGACACCACCGAGGGCTGCGCCCGCAGGGATAGCGGCGGACGGTTTCAATTTCGATTTCTCCCCCATGCCTGATACGCTCTCCTCGACCTCCAATTCCACTGTCGATGTTGACGAAGAGAAGGAAACAACCGTAACCGTCACCTTCCCGTCCTCCAGCGTTGTCGTTGCGCTCGGCGTCGACCCAGACAATATGCTCACAGAAGGAGCAACGTAATCCGGGTCTTTCTCCATCAGCGCCTCGATCGGGACCATGAGCTTATCCTGCTCGCGGGTGCATTGGGAGCAGCTTGGGCTCAAGCAGCACCCAATGAGGCCGCCGGCGCAGACGAGCCAGTATGCTTTGGGAGTGTAGAGTTCGCAGAGTTCGGTGCTACGGGAGTAGGACGTTGGGGCGAGTTGACGGGGGAAAAGCCGGAGGGGGGGAGAGGGGGGGGGCATTGTTGGGGAGATTAAGTTGAGGGCTCGGTCGTTGTTTTTGAGTCCGTTTATTCGACGGGAATTGAAATGAGGACGGCGTGAGGGGAAAGGTGGGAATGACACTGAAGATTCGACGGTGTCGTCCGCAATTTCGTTTCGCTTGATCGATGTTGGGACACGACTTCAGGTCAAGGACTCTGTCGTTGTCTTTGGATCGGTTTCCTCGACGGGAATTGAATTGGCGGAGGAGAAAATTGGGATCTTCTGGTGCTGAATAGTTACCAGTCTTGAATATTGTTTCCGTCGTCGAAGTCGATTTCACCGAAGTTCAGGCACTCCACTCCTTCGTCTCCATCCACCTCCAGGATCCCCAGGCGGGCTGCACGCCATCTATCTATCTCCCGCAGGAGATCACCGCTTCAGCCCTCGCAAATTACATTCTCTGCAGCGAGGATGCCGGTGACGATATGTGTGGTACAGAGTCCGCAGCCGTGCCGCAGAATTGACGTAGAGTGCTAGATTGAGGGTATGCACATGCCGATGGGTATGTTGTTCCGGTGCTCCTTCATATCGATGCGGGAGCCTGATACATACCTGTACAGATGAATTCTACATACCGTAGTTTGTGAGTTCCATGTTCGCTATGCTATATACCTGTATTCATTTTCGTGGACAATGGTGACACCCAACTCCCGCCAGTTGTCCCTTAACCTCAACGCCAAGTTCAATTCATCGCAATCCCAGCCCGCACACTGGCTTCAGACAATCGGTACTGTCCCGTTTTCGAGCTCTCGCAGGGAGACACCAGTAGGTTGTGAGACACCAACATATGGGCGTGAGCTTTGGCTTGGGCTTGGAAAGGTGTGCACGTCACACGAGTGGCTTTGGACTCGTTCTTAGTGCGCATTTGCCTTGTGGTCAATCAATGGCTAAATTTATTACGCTGAAAACTTGAAGCTTTATCGCCCGACAACGTCACAGCACACTTCCACGGCACTCCCGTCGTGAGTATTGGGAAAACGCTCGACTCAGGATCGCATCCCGCCCATGCAGAGCGCTGTAACTGTCACCATGCGCAGCCTTCGGAAGCGGCGACACAGGCCTGCGCACTGCACCACGCCCATCACTCTCCGTCTCCCCATGTCAAATACACAATCCGATATTCATTGTCTCAGCTTTAAATCTCGTAGTACTGCAATGCGACTCAGATAGGTATTCGATTCCCGACATCGGCTTTCGAGTCGGTTTTGGATTCGGTTTTTAACTACTGTATATCCGCTTTCAAGATTACCTGGAACTTGAGCGTTACCAGGCCGTGGTTTACAACGTTTCTCTGCTGTTCGTTATTCCGGTCATTCATCATACAGCATTTCCGACGTCCACGGCGGCAGGGCGCTTCCCTTCTTTTTAGTACTCCTCGGTTTCCATCTCCATCAGATACATTACCTTCACTCCAGGCTGAACGTTGTTTATTCGTTTCGTCAGCCAACGCGCCCTCGTCCCTCATCCCCCCTTCCCCCCGTGATCATTGTCGGCATCCACCTCCGACTCCCAATACATCATGGACTCAACGATACCGGAGCCCCAGTCTCCAACACTCTCTGCATATAAACCTCTCTCGACCTTCACCTTCCCTCACCGGCGCCTTAATTCCCGCTGGCTCGATCCTATAGAACACTGCGTTGTTCACGGCGCCCAGACTCCCGGCTTCCAAAACTCAACACTGCGGCACAGCTGCAGACAACATCGGACCATGATCTTCACGGGTCCACATGATGGTGAGAGAAAGAGGGGAGAGGGTTTTTGAAGGGGCTTGGACAAGGTACCCAGGAAGTATCTAGGAGCGAGCCGCCGGTCGGGGAAGAGGTGAAATATGTGGAGTTGCCCAGCGGGTAAGTCTGGAGTTGACATCCCCCAGGCCGTCGAGACTCGCAAGTCGCATCCAAACCCACTCGACTCGCAGAAACAATACCAATTGAACACCCCACGCCCTCAACCACTGCACCACCGACTCAAAAATGTCCCCTCACCCCCATCTCCGGCTCGCTCGCCGCGACATAACCACAACCTACACGCGCTTTCTCACGCAACAAGACACGTGCAACTACTACTTCGCCGAAGCCTACTGGCTGGACTGCCCCATCTACGACGTAGTCTACTCCATCTGCTGCATGCTCCCGAGCTGCGTCGAATGTCTCGAGAACCGTGATCGCTGGGTTCCCGTGAATGAGGGCTCCCTGCTTGTCACCAGTACGATCCGGGAAACCACCACGACCTCCCGCACTGGCGCTTCCGAGACGATTACGGGAGTTTCGACGCCAGGGAGGACGACGGAGGTGGAGACGTCACGACGGTCGACTCCGATACCCGTATCGACATTGGTCCCAGCAGGTAGTGCGCCAGGAAGTTCGGGTTCTGTCACGGCCACGACACCGCCGGACGGGCTTTCTTCCTCCGACTCTGATGCTTCCTCCTCCTCCTCCTCATCATCATCATCATCATCATCATCATCATCATCATCATCATCATCATCCGGCATCCCCATGAAAGCCGCAATCGCAGGCTTCACCGTCCTCGGCCTCGCGATCCTGGTGCTCCTGCTCGCAGGTCTCTGGTTCATCCGCCGCAAACGCAACCGCATTGGCAACCCCCCCAGTATCACGCCGGAAGCTGGGGAGAAGGGGGGTTATGTGGTCGAGATGGAGGGTGCAGGGATGGTGGAGATAGGGGGTGAGGGAAAAGTTGGGGAACTGGAGGCGGGGAGGAAGATGGGGGAGTTGGATGGGGGGTTTAAGGCGCGGGAGTTGGAGGCGGTGGTGGCGGCGAGGGAGTTGGAGGGGAGTGGGAGTGGGAGTGAGGGGAGTGGTGAGAGGGGCGCTGAGGATGGGAGGGGTGGGTGAGAATGGATGAGTGGGTGAGAGTGGGTGAGAGTGGGTGTCGAGTCGGGGAATTGAATGTACTAGTACCGTATATCTATGGTCTCGGTGTATCTGTATGTATGTATACTTTAGCTTGTAGCTCTCATTCAAGTTTCTTTCCCACTTGGTGGAGTTGAGCGGATCATAACTTTACTAGTCGTTGTGAATTTCGATCCCAATGCTTACCTTCAACTTAAGCTGTAGCTCGATCGTGCCAGAGTTGAACCCATCATCACTCCGACTTCAACTCTGCCAGACTTCACCAAGGATGCAACGAGGGGGCTGGTGAATTGAGCAGTGACCGGACTCGGAGCTTAGCAGGGATAATGGAGGAGGTGGACGGACAATGTTGCCGCGCTGAATCGTAGTGCGGGGTCCAGATCAAGATGAAGATCATACTCTGCTCTCAAGAGTGACTTGGAGTATATACACGGTATCCGCAGCGGTGCACGTCGGGTTGTTAACCATCAACTCGAATTCGCTCGTCGCGGGGTGAATCTCGGAGGTCATCCACATCACACCACAGCAGCATCTCGCATCAGCGGGAAAAAAAAAAAACATCGAAAACCTCAAAACCGCATTTGCTCATGGTATTTCTTCAATCCTCAACCGGAAGTAGCAGCATTCCTCTACACCCCATTCTCCACTGCATCTGCCCACATTGCAACCCGCAAAATCCCTCCTGCCGTTCACTTCATTACCCCTCTGCTCCCCCATTTCCTCCCCATCACCCTTCTACCCCCCATGTCCCACTCGCTCGCAATCCGCTCGCTAAACATGCACCCACACCACACTCACAACCACATCGACAACCTGATGCTCAAACTTCCAACTCCACATTCCATCCCTCTCATTATTCCA